GAAAATCTCCGTTTTCAAAAATACCCGTGTACGTGTGGACGTAGACTAAGAATCCAAATGCCCTCTCTGGGAGTTACAGTCTCTGGGAGGGCATGTGGGGGTCCTGTTACCACTTAATAAAAACGGAGATCTAAAGGACTTCAATATTATAACAGCTCAACCAACCTTGATGTGTTAAGCATCTGTTGTTTATTATTCCACCAGAGTGTAGCTGCCATCACCAGTGTGTGGATGTGTGTGTGAATGTGTGGATGACTGGATGTGTAAAGTGCTTTGGGGTCCTTAGGGACCAGTAAAGCTGTACAAATACAGACCAGTTACCAGAATAACCAAAGGACTAAATGAGGAAACATCCTTTAACAGGATAGGAGTGTGCAGTCAGTGCACATGTGCAGTGTGCTCCTCTGCTCTTGTGTCTGTGTTGTTCCTGATTCCACATTTTGAGCGTCTGTATGATCATGTGATCGTAAATGGAGGCTGTGTGCTGTGAGATAACAAGCCCTTAGAAAATATCATCGTTTTCACTACTGACAGACTTTTTATGGAATAAATATTAATGACCGGAGAGAAGCGATCAGTGCTCTTCTTTAGCGAGCCCACAGCTGACGTGCTCTTCTGCTTTGTTCTCCTAGGCTGCCCCCTGCTGACCACCACTGGTCTGTCAGGCCTCATCCAGCTACACGAGCTGGAAGAGCTGGAGTTGACTAACTGCCCCGGAGCAACCGCCGAGCTCTTCAAATACTACTCGCAGCACCTGCCTCACTGCATGGTCATCGAATAAGGCCCGTGACCGACAGACCACCATACTTCCTGTTTTTCTCACTCTTATACTAAACGCTAACTGCTCCTCTTGTAACACTGTTGCTCATTACCTGACCCTACACCCAGCCCGTCTTCCTCCACACCACTCCATTGAGTAGACTGACCCACAGCTGGACAGAGAGGAAGGAACTCAGACGATGGTACGTGTCAGGATGGTATCTGAGGAGATGCTGGAGTAAAGAGTTTGATGTAACATCTCAGAGCAAGTTTTTCTTCTGGCTGTTGTCTACAGAGAAGACGGCATCTTCAAAGACTCTGATAGTGTTGACTTAATGGATACTGACGGGCAGATGCAACACGGGAAGTAAAGATTGATGTGTTTTAGCTGTTGGAACTTACATACGCGGCCACGCGCCGTAAACATCCTGTACATGGTGAACGCAGTCAGTGCAAGTCCTCAACACCACGAGGACCGACATCTCAGACTGAACCCATCAGTCGGTGTAATATAAACGCTTTATTCATTCTTTTCTCAGAAGTATTTGGCGCTTCAGTTTTCTTTGTTTCGGGAAAGCCATATGTCATCGCACCATACGCCACACGCCAGCTGGAAAAAACAAGTTCAATCAGCGACGACGGGGATGGGAACATCTCTCTTTCTCCTTTGTGTGTGTCAAGTGTTCGTCGTGGACTTGGAGCGACCCATCGTTTCGGAATAAAACACCTGAAAACTAAAGTAATAAGAAACCACAAACAATCACATCTGTTCACGTTTGGTTTGGTTTGCACTCTGGCGTGCTCCCTTTGCTTTCGTGCTCCTTTCCACAGTTTTTGCACACAGGTGCAGTTTACAGGCCTGCAGAGAGTCTGCTAACGATGTGATGCTCGTGTCTGAAATGGTGAATAGAAGCGAGTTACAAATGTGACGGGACATGTGCTCTCAAGTTCAGTAAAGGGGTTTCGACTTCCTGGACTCTGAGTGTAACGTTTAGTGTCTGAATTTGAACTTGAGCTCACTGAAGCTTCTTATTTATTGTGTGCAGTTTGCTAAAGGTTACTTTCAGGCAGTGAATGCAGGCGGGTTGTTGTTGGTGTTCAAATCAGAGAAACTATTCAAAACCACTTTAAACTATTAGAACAACGTCCAGTAGAAACATTGGTGAGAAATGTTGCCACTAAGCCACAGTCAGAGAAATCATTTGATGTAAAAACAAACAGCATGATGAGGTTTCACGTTTCCAGTCCAAACTGGGCTCTAAGCTGCCTTCTTCTGGCCACTGGTTGTAAAATGACACTGGTAACCATGACATCAGTAACTGGGAATCCCGCGGGTTAAAGACAGGAGCAGAAGCAGACAGGTGTAGGTATGCCACCCCTAACCACACCCCTCTGACCCAGTCGACATCAGCTGTAAACTGTAACGTGAGCAGCTTGACCGGGGCTTTGATTCTGCAGTGCATACAGTAGGTAAGAAAAGAGAAACGCTCCCCGTAAGCCAAAGAATCTGAAAGTGGTTCTCCACCCTGACGGAGAGCCTCCATCCTGCCTCGCTGGTTGAAGAGACGCCTCGGCGTCAGCCATCGTTTGCTTGTGACAGATGTTGCTTAAATATGGCCGCTTGTTTCTAAGTGACGACGGTGAAACGGACCGACTGTACGAACAATGTAGAGCATGCATGTTTTTGGTTGGTCTGCCTTTTTGTTACAGGTCGGTTCCTTTTAGATGTTCTTCAGCATTTCTTCATTGGACATGAATACATTTATTTATTCATGTATTTATTTATTTATTTGAATCAGTTTGTGTCTGATGTAATTTATTTATTGAAGAGATATTCTTAAATCAATTTTGTGTTTGTTTGAGAACTTGCTTTTAATCTGGACTTATTTCATTTATTGCTGCTGCGATGATGATTATAACCATGAACCGCTGACATCAGTGTCAGACTGTGTTCCCCTTTCTTAAAATAAGGGAGCAGAAATTGGCAACTATTTGTGATTGTCCTGAATATGGCAACAAAATTTATATATACGCGCACACACACATATATATGTGTGTGTGTGCGTGCGTGTGTGTGTGCGCTTGTTGAGGATTGAATGGAAGATTATTAACACAATACTGGATTTGATTGATGTAAATAAGATCGGAGCATGATCCAGCACGCTTGTTCTAACATACCACTTTATTCGTTTAGAGAGAGACTTTTAAAAACACTTTATGGTGGCATGATAAACGGATGGTTTTCTTATTAGTCTGACTCGCTGCTTAAGTGAAAATCTATTTTTATACATCACCACACTCACATCCTGGTTACCGTGCCCTTCGCAGGCATTTGCAGATTAACTCAGCATTTATTCTTTTATTCAAATTTCACTCAGAGTTCACGTTCAGACATGAACCAAAAAGGACCGTTCAGTCACGTTCTTACACGCAGTCAGTTTTAATGAGTAATGCACAACGTGTGATTGAAATCGCTGTCACACTCTTGTGCACCATGCTCCTGCCTCCTGATCAGCTGTGTTTGTGCTCTGTCAGTATTTTTGCTTTTTGCTTCCAGCAGCTTCACATACATGTTTACGTAGGAGCGCTGGGACGCACAGCTGCATCCTCACCACAAACAACAAACTCCATCATCTGCCCTTGAGTCATTTCTACTACAGTATTGTGTCGACATCTGAGGAGCTTTACAAAAGCAGCCAAACAAATAGTTTACTGAATATGACACGCAGACACACACAGTGTGCGCTGATATCTGACCGTATAATGACTGAGAGGAAGTGCAGGCCTGAGAGCTTCTTGTGTCGTACTTGTACCTGCTGAGGTTTGAAAAAGCATCTTTCCTTCTGAACAACAAAGTGGTTTGGAAACATGAAACGAGCTGATGTGTGTATATTTAGTGACAAAATCCATTTTGTAATACTAGTTAAATAAACATGTACTGCTCTAAACTACAGGTTGAACTATGTAACAAATAATCTGAGTTAAATCACTTCCTGTGCCGTGTTCTGAAGCTCCCAGGCTCATTGTCCTGTTCACTTCTGTCACGTGACACACATGAGCTGAAGTCCAGCCATCACTAACATATTAATGTGAGGAGCTTGGAGAGAAAGTGACTGTTTCCAGCTCTTATCCAAGTTCTGAGACCAGCTGGTGGAGAGTCCCAGATTTGAAGCCAGCTAGTGGGACGTGTTCCTTACTATCGGTGACCCAGTATCGGATCTTCCTTTTTTTGAAGTGCAGTAGAACTGGATGCTTCACATTCAGACACAAACTGCTTCATCACAAGGACAAAAATCCTGAACGACGTAGTGTAAGCTGTGCAGAGCAGCTCCGAGCACAAACAGCCACCTCCACAGGACTCTGCTATGAGTCTGCATCTAAAGGTCAAAGGTCACTCTCTGAACACCACTGTGAGACACCAGCTGTCTGCCACACGATGTGTGATATATTCACTATGTGACAAACCTCTGCTGATTCATGCCTGTTTCTGCACCTCGGCTCATGTGAGGAGGCTAGGGATGCAACGATACCAATTTTTTCAAACCGATACGATACGGATACTTGGATCTGAGTACTTGCCTATACAGAGTACAAAAAATGATACTTCTACCACACACACACACAAATGCAATGAATTGGAAGACAGGTTTTATTTTATTCTCTGCCGATAAAAAATAAAATCTTAATAAAAATGACCACAAAAAAATTTCAAGTGAAAAATAAGCACTTCTGTTAAATTATTGCAGAGTCTCCACATTGTAATTCAACAAAATATCACTGAACTATTGGCACTGTCTCGAGCTTTCAGAATAATAAATAAACACTTCTGTTTGGAATAAAATAAATACAAATTAGGTTTGAGAATAAAATAAACTTTTAAATTATTGCAAAGTGTCCATAATGTAAACAAACAAACAAAATAATTATTATTAATTAAATAATAAAATATAAAAAATTATAAAATATATAATAAATAAAATAATAATTGGCCCCCTAGTGGCCAATCTAAAAAACTACAACAGAAATGACAAGCCACCCTCTGATTAATGAAATAAGTTGGTATCGGTTCATGGTATCGGTTAACTTTTACAAGTATGAGTACACACACATTTTACAGTATCCGCCCCGATACCGATACTGGTATCGGTATCGGGGCCGATACCGATACCAGTATCGGTACATTACTAGATGAGGCACATAATCAATAGTGGGTCAATGACCCTCTTACTCCCACTAAGGCTCACATACGGGACTGTCCACCAGTTGGTCTCAGAACTGAGAAATCTTTTTGAATAAAACGTCTTCAAGAAATTTAAAGAAGTCCAGTCGCTCGTTAGATCACCATGTCTGACTGAGAACACACACTTATAACATACATGTGGCCCTCGAGCTGTCAGCCACAATATTTCACCAGAGAGAACGACAAAGACGAGGCCGTGCAAAGGACGCCCCCACGCTGAGTTAAGGGCTGCTTTTTCACATCAGTCTCATTTCCCTTGTCTGTACTCTGTGACACAGAGAGGTACTACTTCATACTGTGCTGATCCAAATGAGGCAAACAGTCCAATCACAGCTGTACATTGTGTAAAGTGTTGAGAACAAAATGATGTAACTATGATGGAAACCAAAATCCAACATAACCCTTAGACGACAGGATTCAGACCTGCACCGTACGATGATACTGAAACACTTTTATGGGTAAAACAATAAATAAATTAAAACTTTGTTGCACATCTTTCTTTTGGATTTTCTAAAGCGTAGGTTCAGAGTATGACACAATGTAAAATGTGTTGACATTTTAAGAATAGCACTGATATCATGTCATCTTCCAACCAAACCTTTCGATCCTGAAAGCATGCTGCAAAGACTGGAGGGAGGAAGGAGCAGCTGGTCTGTGGAGATGGAAGTATTTCTCTGTTTTTAATGCATCAAGTGTTTCACTGCAATCAAACATCACATATACAAGTAAAATGTAGATTGCAAATACATTATTATTTACATTAGCTGGTTCTGATGGCAGCCTGAAGAAATCGTCTCTTTTTGCACAACAAAAAGGTTTATTTGCACGTGGAGCCGAGCCTGATGGACAGGATGAGATGCTGACCTGGATCTTCTGCATGGCTGCAGTTGGAGGTGAGCTCACAAGTGTGTGTGTGTTGTAAAATGCAGCAGGTTTTAAAAGAAAGACGCGAGTGACTGGTTTCTACTACTGACTGAGACTGTTAGCCAAGGCTAACATGTTTAACATAACAGTGGAAACACGTGAGACTAAAGGAAAAACTGAGGAAAGCTAAATGTGAAAGAAGCAGCATCAGACAGATCTGAGACCCCAGCTCACATTTAGCTTTGAGGGAAGACCAGAAGCTTCTACTGGACTTACGTTAGCTTAGCTTCGTCAGGCTGTCGTGGCATCTTTTGGTTGAGCTGATCTGTTGTTGCTCTTGTGAATACTTTGTCTGGAATGAAGTTTATTTTTAGTTACAAGTAACATTGCTTCCACTGATTGTTCATATTTTGTCGATTGTCTGCAGCTTTAAAGATGCTCTAACATCGTCTGTCAGCACTGCTAATGTTAGCCTCGGCAAACTGATCTCACACCAGGACATTTAAGACGCCCCATCACTGCCTGACGCAGAGCATTTGTGTGTCCTGGTTCAAGCTGGTCTATGAGACAATGCTCAGCCTTCTGCCCTTCAGCAGACAACATTGCAGATTTGTCTGAAATAATACAATATGTTTCTGTTTTGGATTAAAAATGATCACATTTCATTTTTACCAAATATACAGAGAGATCCTGGCGTTCACAAGCCTGACCTGAATCTTGTGTCTGAAAAGACTGAATCAGGACAGACGTTCAGGACACAGTCGAGCAGTTCACACTATTTTATTATCAGGCAAAGACTCACATGGACATGGGAAGTACATCATTCAAAGCATATATCAGACATGTGAACACAGGAAATATTTGTTATTGGCTGTTGGTGGGGAGATGCTCTCTCTGATTTGTTGTCCTGATGGCCTTTGACCTCCAGTCAGTGAGAACACGCCTCCTACCTTACAGCTGTTACCAGACATGGCTGGTAACAGCTTCCTAAAGAAAGCTCCAGCCGATCCAGGAGAGAAGGACAACCGCTGCCCAAG